ATTTTGTGAAATTTTTCCTTAAATGTAGATATCTGTCTACCCTTGAACAGTTTTCAAACTTTTTACTGGCCCATTGCATTAAAAAAATTTTTTTATTGGCACAGATTTGCAGTCCATGTTTACATTGTGGGGTTTTTTCTTTTTCTATTTTCGTGACTCTTTGAGACCTTTGCTGTTCTTTTATTGGCATGTTTATCGTTTTTATTTCTAAGATCCCTCCATGTCAAGGATATAAACTCTTTATATATTCTGTGAATATTTTAGGTTCTCATTTGCTTGTCACCTTTTGTTTGCAGCTCATTTGTCCTTATTTTTTTTTTTAGTAGTGGTAGTCGGTCTGGACCATTTAGTTATTTATCTTCAGATTTGCTGCAAAAGAGATTTAAGGTAACTTAGAAATACATGTTCAATGCAGGGATACAATTAATTAAAACCAAGAAAAATAGGGCAAAGAAACCAATATAAGTAGAAAAGCAAGATGAAGCCAGCAGTTGAGTCAATTTTTTATTTTTAAGAAAAGATACCATTATTACACATTGTGCATGTACTAGGCACTGGCTGCAAACTTAGTTGTCTGCTCTCTTATAGTGTACACATGAACCGTTAAATACTCTACAATAGACTGTAAGACCAACAATGTTTTGAAGGGAAAACAGACAATGTACTTAGGAGATGCACTGGAATTCCTAACCCTGGTATTCCCAAGAAGGGGTTTCCCCTTAAATTCTCATGAAAAGAGACTGGAAATTCTCTCTTTCTCAAGCGCTCTCTCTCTCTCTCTCTCTCTCTCTCTCTCTCTCTCTCTCTCTCTCTCTCTTCTCTCTCTCTCTTTCTGTCTCTCTCTTTCTCTTTCCCCTGTCTGTCTCTGTCTCTGTTTCTGTCTGTCTCTGTCTGTCTCTGTCTCTCTCTCTTTCCCCTGTCTCTGTCTCTGTCTGTCTGTCTGTCTATCTGTCTGTCTCTCTCTTTTTCTCTGTCCCCTATCTGTCTCTGTCTCTGTTTCTGTCTGTCTCTGTCTCTCTCTCTCTCTCTCCCTCTGTCTCTCTGTCTCTCTGTCTCTCTCTCTTCAACCACAAGCTACAGTAAGATGCAACACATTTTACAAGTCACTTCACTAATTTCATGCTAGCTTATGAAGAATTTATTTAATTTTCTCAATATCCATTTCTGATTAACGAACTTAAAACCATGAATGAGGCTTACAGCAAGAAAAGGATGTGAAGGAAAAGAATATTTTTATTGACCTTAAAAGCAGCCTCACTTTTGTATAAGGAAAAACACTCCACTGTGTTTTTACTTAGAGCAGTTTCACTGGTTAAAATACTTTTCAACTGTATTTGAGGAGAAGCACATCAAATGGCTATTATCAAGACTTCAAAGGCTGCTGCTTTGAGCTGCTGGTTGATCGATCTTGACACTGCATTCAGAAGGAACACAATATAAACTAGTGCCACAACAATCCAGGTAACTGCAAACACACAGTTTTATTTGAGGTTCCAGAGGAAATTGTAGAGAACAGGGAAAGTATTCTGCAGGAGCTGAGGATAAATGGAAATACCATTTTCTGTCTAAATGTTATGGATTTCTGATTGATGGAAAGAATATTTGACATGAAAATTAATATTCTTAGCTGTTTTGGCATTATATTTTTGTAGGATAAAAGATTTATACATTTGTAGGGATCATCGAGGTTATTCAATTCAGTTCTCCACTACAAGTTTCAATTCCCTGTTAACTGTCTCCCTCAAGAAACAAGCAGCCATACTTGAATGGAGGATTAGCACGGTGGTGAAGTAAGCCAGTTGTGGCATCAGAGGGCCTGGACTGGACCATGGACTTCCAGTTACCGTCGGCTTGGACTTAGGCAAGGTCCTTGACGCCTCCATACAGTTTTCTCATCTGTAAAAAGAGATAAAACACCCAGAGCAGTGTCTGGATGTTGAGTAACAGTTATCTCTTCCTGTTATTACATACACCTTCTAGGGAAGCTCAGCTCAGCCTGGAAAGAGCCACAGGTGTGGTTTGGTTATTATTTGGTTTTTAGTAACAGTGAACGCTCACTTCTGGTAACAGCAGAGTAGCATTTATAGAACTACCATCTGCCATTAACAACTTTCAACTCTGCACCAAAACACAGTGCAAAGAATTATAAATTCATAATTAAAATAAACATGGGAAGCTCGTGGGGAAGGATTTAAAATAGGAAACTGGCGAAAACAAGAGCTTAAAATACTGTAGCAGACTAGGCGTGCTCCACATTGAACCACTTTAAGCACAGTGTGTGTGGCTTAGTGATGGGGCTGTATTCTCAGAAGTGCATTGTTAGGTGACTTCAGCATTGCTGACACAAACCTGGATGACGTAGCCTGGTAATCACCACAAATACATAACTGTACATGCCATGCTTTATACCATTCTCTGCAAGGGAGGTGTGTTTACACCAGCATCATCACAAACACATGAGCGACTTCTAGCACCATGACCTTGTGATGGCTACCGTGCCTCTCAGCATTAGGAACTCTTCATCCCCATCATAATCTAAAGGCACCACGGTCACATAAGTGATCTGTCATTGACCAAACATGTGGTGTGTGACCGTCCATAGGGGATAAAACTTCATCAGGAAGAGGATAATGACTGGCCAGAGGCTCCAGAAATCAGTCTGTGGGTCTGTCCAAGTAACTAGAAATTAAAAATGAAGGATGATCCGAAGAAGGAGGAGGCAACACGGGACCCCCAAATTCTATGCATTAATTCTCTTTCTCAAAATGTCAGCTGACTACCAAACTGTACACGGGCTTGAGGAGACTGCAGGAAATCCAGCTGGAGGCTGGAAGAGCTGGGCAGAGATTTCAGCCAACACTTGGTGCTAGAAAGACAAATTTTGGAATTCAAGTCAAGTAGAAAGAATTCACTATCTTCTTTGTGCTTTTCAGTGAACCCCAGGAGGGCCATAGCTTAGGAATGAGGGTCCTTGAAACAAGCACTACAACTGAAACCAAAGAAGCCCGTCAGGTCAACTGCCACTAGGTTCGGTTGATTTGTCAGTAGGTGAGCTGTGTGCTGGGACAAAACACTCTTGGAAAGACAATAACAATGCTCATGGTGTGAAGTTTTAAAACACTGTGTATACAAATAAGAAAAATGTGATCGGTAATCAGAGGAAAGATAAGTCTCAGATGGTAGAATCAGAATGTGAAGGCTCTCAAATCACTGTGAAATACACGTGAAATAAACCATTGGAAAAGACTGCCAATGGGCGAAGAGATGAGGAATAGCAGGAGACATATGGAAATGAGGAAAAAATCAAATGGGAGTTATGGAACTGAAAAATAGATCTGAAATTAAAAATTCATTGAAAGAACTTAAAAGCAAATTAAGCACCACAGGAAGAAAAAAACAGTATGCTTTGTAGATACATTAGTAGAAACTATCCAACCGAGTTCAGAAAGAAAAATGAATTTTTAAAAATTACAGTGATGACAGCTCCTGTGACAATATTAGGTGACCTATCAAATGTGAAATTGAAGTCTCAGAAAAATAGAGAATTTTTTTTTAATGGGAAAACTTTTTCTAGATTTGATTGAAAACATTAATCACTCTTAGATTTGGAAAGTTCGATGAACTTCAAGCAGGATAACTTCTAAAAATCAAAGTTAAAAAAATTAGCATATGTCAACAAAAGAAAAAGATACATTACAAAGTATTAAAGATAAATAATAAGAACTACTCACATCTTGTCAGAAACTTTGGAGGCAAGAGGATAATAGATTGTCTTCTTAAAAGTGCTAAAATAAGAGTAAATCAGCCTAAATTGAAAAATAAAGTGAAGTTTTATATAAAAAATTATTATAATAAAAGACATATTGCCATTAATCCCCCTGAAAGTACTCAAAATACTGCATCTCATTTCCAGCTCATACTCATCCTGTTGCTTCTTACATTAAATGTAAATGGACCAAAGCTTTCAATTAAAAGCATAGATTATATGCATTTCAAATAACAGACATTAATAAGTAGAAAATGAAAAGATGGAGACAGGGATACTATACAAACATTGCACATAAGAAACCTACTGAGATTAAATTAATATAAAGATAGACTTTAGATATGGACACTGCCAGAAATAAAATTAAAGGTTTTTGAAAAATGAAAACATCAATTCATTAAGTGGGCGTAATCCTAAGTATGTTGGCATCTGATGATAAGAAATGTTTATTTGCTAAGCATGTGTCCAATAATTCCCTTTAGGGAGAGTTTTGCCTCTACTAGAAAGGTAACTTTACTGAAGTAGGTAGTCTGAGCTATGGGATGGGCTGTATTTGATGATTCAGAAAAACAAGTAAAGTCCCCAAGACAAGGCAATGGGGTCACGCATCCTCTCAATTTATCCACAACTGGATTGTTTCTTTGAAATCAGGATTTAGTGAAAATATCCAGGCAGACTGTGATAGTTACTCTCATCCTACAAAGAGGAGAATTCATTTTCCTTGGAAATGGAGAGCAAAGAGAGGAGAAGGAAAAAGTGGGTCGTGACAAGATGATACGAGATTTACAGTGGGTGAAATAACCACTTTCCATGACCCCTCAAAGTATGAGTAAAATTGCTCCACTCACAAAATGTGTGTGTGTGTGTTGTGTGTGTGTGTGCATGTGTGTGTATAACTAACAATGAGTGAAAAGAGCGAATATCACGGACATGGTATTTGTGAGCACACTGTCTTTGGGAATTTGTAGCAATCAGAGGAGTTATGGTTTTGGATCACCATAAGCTATGAAATAGGACATCTGTGTCCAGATGGAGCACAGTGAGGCTGAAAAGGGCTGAACTGACCCCTGGGTGTCACAGTTGCATTAGTTAAGACTCCGGGCAGCAGGCAGAGGTAGGTGAGCACTGCACGGGATTGACCCTGAAGCCCAGGATGGTGCTATAGCAGTCTTGCATGTTCCCAGTGCAGTAGTGAAGAGAGGACGTATTCTGATGGCTCTGTTTCCTCCTCCAGGAATGAATAAACCTGAGAAACCAATCAAAATGTGACATCAGACAGAAGAAATTTCAAGCAATACCTATCAGCCTTTGGAAATGTGGTGAGAAGAAACGCTTAGGAGCCAGTATTTTGTTGCTCGGAAGGTTCCTGTTTGTACTGGAATCCTACCCGCTTAGGATGTCCCCAAATTCCCTGGAAATTGCTTGAGTTTTCTTCTTACTCTACCAGCCTCCTGTAGTTTCAAAGGTGTTTCGGCTCCTAGTAAGCAGTTTAACGTTCTTCCCTTTTGCTCACAGATCTGTGCCTCTCTTTGGCTCCCTCTTAGTTTGTCCAAAAGACCTGTTTTCTCCTTTGCTTTGGCTTCCCCATTCTCTCTTGGGTTTTGAAAAGAATGAACTTTCAAATAAATTCAAACTGCACTCTGCTAAAAATAAGTAGACATGAGTATTTGTCCTCCATTTATTCCCTCTGTGTGTGTGTGTGTGTGTGTGTGTGTGTGTGATACTAGGGACTGGACACAGGGCCCTTTACTTTGTTCCAAGTCACCAGTCCTTTTTTATATTTTATCACAATATATGGTCTCACTAAGTCACTAAATTACCCAAATGGGGCTCAAGCTTACCATCTTTTTGCCTCAGCTCTCCAGAGTGCAGGGATTACAGAAATGTGCCACCAAGCCTGGCTCAAATTTGTTGAGCATTGCTATATAGTAGACACAGTTCCTGGCTCTGAACACACAAACATCTCTCATCTATTAAGATGCTCTATAATATGTTAAGGGTAACTGAAATGTAAATTTACAATTCACAATATATCAGTATAGATGTTAGACTGAAGCCTGAACAAAATGTTTCAGGATGAGCAAGAAATGGCAATGGCTCACCAAGCAGATGACGTGGCCACTATCTTAGGAGACGAAAAAGTGAAAGAAGGAAGAACAGGTGAAAATGAAAATCTCTAGCCCAAAATATTAGTAGTTGAGTCACACGATGATTAGTTCCTGAAGGAGGTGTCGGGAAGATGTATTGGGTAGATGAAATCCCTAATGAGCCCATAAATGAGGAGCGTTGCTTCTTATAGCATATAAGAAGATAATTTTTATCAGGTAATGAAATTGTTTTCAGTCTTCGGAATGAAAATGAATCCCTTGCTAATGCAGATCTTCTAATAAAGGGACTGAGAGAGAAAGCCGGAATTACACTTGGCTCATGGTAGGCAGAAACCCACCTAAATAGTCCAGGAAAAAAAATGAAAGATAATGAAGTAATCAAAATAATTGCTTAATAGGGAATGTGAAAGATCTGCAGTGCTAAATTATAAATGTACATTTCAAGAAAAATGAGGTGACCTTAAGGAACAGATTAGAAACCGAAACCCATGCCAGCCAGAAGCAATGCTTTTCATTAGCAAAGCTAAAGATTAATTAAATCCGGGGAAGCTCTTTGAAATCCACAAGTGCGAGCTACGTTAGAATACAATACAACTGGTATATTGGTATCATAATTAATGATTAAAATAGAGCTCTTTATTAAATGTGTTCTGCCATCGTTCACGTGACAGTTGTGAAAATGAAGGGGACAAAAGTGTGTTACTTAAAACCAACCCTGAGTCTAGCAGCATCTGCTTGTCAAAGTTGGGGATGAGGGGTTTATTTGCAGGACATAATGTCTAATAGTTGCCTTCCCTTTTTGCAGTAGCCAGTGGACAATCCCAAACTTAATGGGGGTTCTATATCCCCCAAAACCTCTCTGGAAACCTAGCAGAGAGCATGGAAGGGAGTGATGGTTTGATTTTTGCTGTTGCTGTTATCTCTGGATCTTTTGTTTCAGATGAATGATTCTGGATGTTGGTAACAGAGAATGGAGGCTGAGAATTCAAAGCCTCTGACAATTCTTCTTGCCATCTAAGGGTGATGCTTTGGGGGCAAAAAATGGCCATTGTCAACAGAGAGGGTTAAGTATAGGTAAATGGAAGCCCAGTTTTACAGGACAAGAAAAAGAAAGCTTTGTTCCTTAGAGAGACTATGCAAGGGGGAAGGGGAGGGCAAGAGTCTGGAGAGGTAAAGGGGTGAGACCCAAGAAGGGCAAAAAGCCCCTCCTCTGCTCTGTACCTGTGTCTGCCGAGTGAGGCAGATGTAAGTGAGCAAATCAAGGCAGAGCGCAGTTAGAGAGCCTGACAGAGGGAGAGGCTGCAGAGTTTGGGAACATGTGGAGCCATTGGAGCCGAATCAGAGGTCATATAATAATTCGGAACCACAGTCCATTCCCAGGATGTCACAGTCATACAGAAGCCAGCCTCGGGTAGGGGACAGGAGCCCTGCTGTTCTGGACACTTCTGTCCTTTAGTGATGGTGGTATTCACCTAGCATTGTCCGCTGAAACATGGTTTCTGAGATTAAGCTTTAAATCTGAGCTGGGTTTACCCATATAAACTTTAGACCGTTTGAAGATGCTGCTCTGAGTCATATTTAAAAGATATCTCTGAATTTCATGGGACAGATGCCTTATATAACCTCACAAAATCATGACTTTAAAAGATTTGATTCTGAAAATTCTTGCAGAAGATAGAACTAGACACATACGTAATTTTTAATTTGTTTTTAAAAATGCAATAAAAAGTTACAGTCTGACAACTTGGATGGAAATTTGCATAGCAATTTTATTTGTTTAAATATTTTATTTTTCTCATTATTCCCCTGTCTCTCAAATACTCCAAAAGACATGGTTTATAACCTATTATTTTTCTCCAAGTGCTCCCTTTGGATAATTTGTTGTTGAATGTCCCTTTTCCCGCTGTGAATATTTTCTTGCCAGGATCTTTGTATTGTTTTTCAGTCACTTTCAATCTACGAACAAGTCCCATCTGGGGAGCTGAGATTCACTTCTAAGTATTATTAGGCTCAGTCCAGTATAAATCAAAATTTCAACCTTATATCCAATTCAGAGATTCTTCTCTCCCTGCCCTCTAAAGAAGCCTATAGCCTGCAGCCAGGGAGGTGCGAGGCCTATTTTCTCAGCAATTCTGATGGTTTCATCTGGATATTTCTCACTTCTTGCATTTGGGGTGCCCAGGGCAGGTTAGCAAGGTAAGAGTGGAACCACTCTCTTATAATTTGCCTGTTCCTGGGACTGGCAGTGCTCGGGGTGCCTTTGCACTGGCCCACATCACACTCCCAGGGAAAACAGAGCCAGGAGGGACCAGGGGCACAGAACAGATCCCGTTCCTTCATTTGTCCCTTGTGTGTAAGGAGTCTTATAAACACAACATTTGCTGAGAAAACTTACGTGCCTCTGCAAGGTTCGTTATGGTGCAGCGGCCAGCGTGGTGACACATTTCCCATCCTTTCTTGCTTCACTCGAGCTCTTTCACGTTTGTGTGCCCTCAGATTTCTACCAGCCTGCCCCCTCCACAGAGTCGGCCCTGGTTTCTTGCTGTGGGCTCTGTTGTCTAGGAAACCTGCAGTAAGACAACTTTCAAACTGCTACCAGATGCAGAAATCAACAAGAGCCTGGTGGAGATGCCATGTAATATTCTACACTTACGACATTGTATATTACGGAACCAAAAGCAAATTGGGGTGTGGGTTTGGTCTTAGTCTTTGAGGGTTTTTTATAGCAAAAATACCAAAATAGGGTGGCTTATAAATAATAGAAATTAAGTTTTCATAGTTCTGGAGGCTGAGAGGTTCAAAAATGGAACTTGTTGACAAAGTTGTTACCTGGTCAAGACTTGCTTTCGGCTCCTAGATAGAACCTTTTAGTTGTGTTGCTCGTGGTGGAGAAGACTTACCAGCTTTCTAGGATTTCTTTATGAGGAATCAAGTCAGCTCTCTCTTTAGGATCTAATCACCTCCCAATAGCCCCAGTTCCTGGAACCATCTCCTTCAGGGTTAAGGTGTCAACACAGGCATTCTGATGAGCCATAAGCAATCAGTCCTTTGCACCAGAGTTTTCAAGATACTTCTAGCCTGGAGAACAAGCCTAAGGTGATAACAGGAATTGGGAGAGAAAGGCTAGAGGTAAGGCTGCTCCCGAGGAGTGGGACGGGCTGTGGTAATATTACCAGGATGCTGGATTCGTGTCTCACGGTGTCAGAGAATGAGGTCACAGAGGAGCCAAGAGTGACAACGAAGGAAGTTTATTGGAGAAGCGAAAGCAAGCAAAAGCTCCTGCTACCAAAGGGGACCGCAGAGGAGGTTGACAGGGAGCACTCTTTGTCCAGGGACTTTTATAGGACCTGAAAAAGAAGTGCTTTTCCTCTACCTGTCAGGGCAGTGTGCTCCCTGTCCTGCGGGGAAGCAATCAACATTCCCCCAGCGCCCAGTAATGAAGGTGATTCCACCCTGGCCACAGGTTCCCCGGCCAGTCTCCACCTTGGTCACACTCCAGGGCAGCCTTGTGTGGCCAAAGGCTTCCCTTCATTGTTTGCTCACACTTTCTTGGTCAGTTTAGGACTTTCACCCATGCTCACTTTTGGGTGCCGACCCCATTTTGTGGGCCTGTGTTCCGCGTGCCTGGGCCCAGCTGATTGGTCTCCTACGTCAGTGAGGGAGCTGGGAAGCTATGGAACCATCTGAATCCAAGGAATGGCAGAAGTACACGTGCACTTCGGGTTACGCTGGCTGCAACAGGGGCGCTGGGTTGAAATTGGGCAGGGAGTGGTCACCAGGGTTGTGGCACGGGTGTCACTTTGTATGATAGAATCCAAGCAGCCTATCATTAAGTAATCTTATTGTCTTGCTTATTACCAACCCAAAGATACTAATTCTCTTTAATATTATTATTAGAGAGGCTTAAAAAGCACAGTGAAGGACTAATTTTGGTATTTTGATTAAAAAGTATAGAAGGTGACCGTTGTGGACTAAGCTCTTGCAATAGACACTAAGAGACTAGAACAAAAATCAAAGTGGAGTCATCTATGGTAAAGCTCCATGTCACCAAATTGAGACTAAATTGTTTATTTGACCTTCTAAGAAACCAACAAAAATGACAGGTGATTGCCAAATTTTTCAGGCAGACTCGTTTCAGACAGTTTAATAATAAAGCTCCTTCTTGTTTAATCCTTACACAAAATAAGTGACCTAAAGCAAATCGATCAGTTATTATCCTACTGTTCTTTTTCTCCATCCCTGCCTAACAAAGAAAGTAGTTTTGAAATGACCAATTTGTTTTTCATTATTTCTGCTTTTTATCATCCATCTTCTGTCTATAACACAAACTACCTGAACATGTGTCATATTTTGAAGAATGAAATATTGCCAATGCTCGAACTAAAAAGAAGATCAACTGAAGGAGATTTTTAAATTGTTGTAATTTTTGTCTTTTGGCAGGTGTTAATAAATAGTCAAATGGAAGTCACTGGAAATCTTTCTAATCCTTTGGAGGTGTTTATGAAGAAAATACTGAGGACTAGGAAATAGGCACCTGGATTGACTCCTGGGTATGTGTGTAGACAGTGGGCCTTGTTTAATTTGGCGGAGTGGAGCTGAGTATTATTTGAGGTCCTTCAGAGACAGAATGAGGGCACGCATGTGTGCATGTGTATGTGTGTGTGTGTGTGTGTGTGTGTGTGTGTGTGTGTGTGTGGAGAAGAGAGAAGGAAGGAGAAGGGAAAAGGGGAAGAGGCGCACACATAGAGGGAGAAGGAGAGGGAGAGGGAGAGACAGAGACAGAGACAGAGACAGAGACAGAGACAGACAGACAGACAGACAGAGACAGACAGAGACAGACAGAGACAGATAGAGATCCACTGAGGACTGAAGTCCAGCTCACAGAACTCCAGGACAGATTTGCGTCTGGGGACCCAGTGAAGAGGTGATGCGGCTCAAACCCGCAAGCAGTTTGGTGGTGGAATTCCCTCACACCCTGCTCAGTTAGCCTCTCTGACTCTCTCTCCCTTTCTGTTTCTTCCTTCTCCTCCTCCCCTTGTCCCTTTCTCCCTCCTCCTCTTCCTTTTTCTCCTCCTCCTCCTCTTCCTCTTCTCCCTTCTCTCTCTCTCTGAGAATTGACCCCAGGGCCTTTACACTGAGCTGCATCCAAGGCCCTTTTGTATATTGTATTTTGAGACAGTCTCCCCCTAAGTGCTCAGGCTCCCTCAGACTTGCAGCCTTTTCCCCTCGGCTTCCCGCAATGCTGGCATTGCAGGCATGCACGTGGCTTCAGGTTTTGCTCCTAAGACCTTCAATCAATATGAAAAGCTACACCCGTACTGTGGAGGATAATTTGCTTTATTTATAGTTGACTTTAAGTGTTAATCTCATCTAAAACATACCTTTGTAGCAATGTCTGGAATGATGTTTGACCAAATATTTTCATAGCATGGCCTGGCCAAGTTAGCACAAAAATAATTGTCATAAGTGTGTCATCTACCCCAGTAACATTTGCCTATATTTTATTTGTATTGTTCAGAAAGTCTTGTACCTCTTTAAGAATAAATGTTACCTCATAAAATACTATTAGCAATGCAGATGGTGGTATTCTGTAGTAATATAAACAATTTTGTACCTAAAGGATGTATGCAATATGGATAGAAACCAAAGGTTTTCATTTTTTTCCCTGCAGGGTACGAACCAGTTTCATATCTACCCTATCAATCATCTAACACTTTAAAAATTTAAAAAATAAATCAGCATCTTACAGTTTCACTTCTTATGGGTTGAATAAAACTTTTGATTCATGTTCATTTTATATTTTTGAGAGCATTTTGTTTACTTTTGAAAATTATGCTTTGAAAAGGAATAAATATATAGCATGCAATAGAAAAGAATGACAATAATTATTTAACGCGTGGCATTTTGTGTATTAATCATGCTGCAGATGGGAATCAAAGTATATGACCATCTCACTTTCTTCATTGGTCCCTTTGGCGTGGCGACTGGATTTAAAACATGTACAGTAAGTTCTCCAGCTACAGCTTCTGTGGCATCGATTCTGTTCTCTCCCCAGCGTCTCTTGTTACACAGTTTTAGGTCTTCCCTGAGTCCTCTTTCTTCATTTTCCATCCTGCCTCCTCCTCTGGGCTGCACTGTGTAAAGTGCTCCCTCGCTGTCTCAGGTCAGCTGCTCAACCTCTCCATAGAATATTGTTAATTTCAAAGGTACCGCTTGTTTATTTCTAGAAGTTCTATTGACTTGATATTCAGTGTGCCTGTTCTTTTCTCATAGTGTCTTATGATTCTTATTATTTTGTTTATATTACTGAGATTTTAAACACACTTATCTTCTTTCACTGTCATTTTTCTATTATGCAGTGTATTGGCATATTGATCCTGCTGTTCGTTGTGTGTGATCAATCTGGTTTATACTGTATATTCTCTCTCTCTCTCTCTCTCTCTGTCTCTCTGTCTCTCTCTCTCTCTCTCTCTCTCTCTCTGTCTCTCTCTCTCTCTCTCTTGTGTGTGTGCGTGTGTGTTCCAATTTGGATTGCCATTTCGAGTAGAATTTTATCAGAATTTCATTTCTGCAAATCCTGAGTGGCCTGGGCTAAGGTTAGGTCTTTCCAGAGGGGATTTTGCAGTTTCCAAGAATCTCTCCCTGGGAGCAATTATTTTGGTAATTTTTCAGTGTTGGAGTACCAGACCCTGCAAGTAAAGGGCAGGGCCATGGTAACAAATTCTCAAAGGAGACTTCCCTTCTTTTAAACCTGTGCTAATGAGCAGTTGTCTTTGAATCTAATATTTGATGAAAAATGAAATCTATATTAGTTTTCCATTGCTGCTGTGTAAATTTAAAAATGTATGGCTTCAAACAAAACAAATTTGAAGGAAAGAAAGAGAAAGGGAAGGGGAGGGAAAGGGAACTGGAAAGCCAAAGGAAAGGGAGAGAGAGAGGAAAAAAAGATGGTAGGAAGGAGACCCACAGACAAAAAAACAAACATAAATTTATTATTTCAAACGCTATAGGTCAGATGTCCAAAGATGTGTCTCAGTGAGCTAAAACCAAGACATCTAGAGGCCTGGCTGATTCTGGAGGCTCTGGGGGGAAATCCAGAGTCCTCTCTACCCGGGAGACTGTCCACGCTCCTAGACTGACCGCTCTGTCACTGGGGTTAGGGCGAAAGTCTTGTCTCTGGTGAGTCCCAGGGGACCAGGCTCAGCCACCAGGCCCAGAGAACCAGGCAGAAAAAAGGTTGGTAGAGGCAGGAAAGGAGCTTTATTCTCCACATGACCAAGCAGGGATGGACAGTGTGCTAGTGACTTGCGATCTGTCTTCAGAAGTGCTTGTGGCAATCACAGAGTTGTGTAGGGAAAAAGATGAGAGCCAGCAGTCGGGGTCTTCTTGATGTGGCTGTGGTCTGGGGATGATCGCCTCAGGCCGGTGCAGAGCTCTGTTGGCATCAGGAAGCCGCTGTAGCTTGGGGAATGGTTCTGGTTCTTTGTCATAAGATGCTCTGCCGTTGGACATGATCCTGGGATCCACAGTGACTGCAGAGATGACGATGCGAGGGATCAGAAGGGGGCAAAAGATCAAAAGGTAAGTGGAGTCAGAGAAACAAACAGGACTCAGGTCAGGCACTGGGCCCCTTCCTTTAGGGCCCCTTCAAAGCCAACAGTGATGAGTTCATTCTTTCTCACATCGAATTACTCGGACCTCTTTTGCCTTCTTCTTCCACTTTCAAGTGGACCTTTGTGGGGACATCGGTACCACAGGAATAACCCAGGTAACCTCATTATTACCTGGTCAGCTGGTGAGTGACCTTCCTTCTGTCCTCCACCTCATTCCACTCTGCCTTGTGGTAACATGGTCGCGGGTTCTAGAGATTAGGCAATGCGCATCCCTCGGGAGCCGTTATCCTGCTCCCCGTTATCACACACAGCCCTTCGAGGGCAAAAGTGTGGGTAAGGAGCTTAGCTGTAACTTGCAATCTTTTAGTAGTTGCCGGCCTCAAGGTATTAAAACATGACTCCATGCATTACAAAGCCAAAAACTTCATCCTGTCCAGGAAAGCTGATACACTTTTTCATTAAGTTTCTTTTTTTTTTTCTTTTATTGGGAATTTCTTGTTCTTTTTTCACAAGCTCAGCTGTGATTTAAAAGCATACTTATTATGCTTACCTGGAGTTTCTAGGAGTTTGTAGTGTGAACATTTAGACTCATGAAGCTAACAATATGGCCAGAAAAATAAATCTCTGTTGTAAGTATATTTGTCCAAAAAATATAAATAATGGCCTGTTGTAGTCAGGGGTTGTACACAGAAAACAATTCAGATCGGGACATGGAGTTTATAATATTTTTATAATGGTCACCGGGAGTTAACACAAGAAAATGCAGGAAATCTATCTGCAACACCAAAGACATAGATTATTTAGTCAAGAGCCTAAACCCCAAAGCCCAATGTCCCACGTGAGTCCAGATAAAAACCCAGAGCTCAAGACAATGACTCCCATGAGTCCAACTGTATGTCCAGAGCCCACAAGAAGGACTCACGCCAGTCTCTTTTACAGATCCATGCCGGGAAGACCCAAGGGTCAGCGGTGGAAGCCAGAAAGTCTGTGCCAGCAGGATGAAGGAGCTGTGCTGGTGGGATGAGGGTTCTACGCTGGAGCCGAGAAGTCACACTCACAACAAAGACCAGGACTGTCCTGAAAGGCACCACAGCTGTCCTCAGCGACACGGAGGCCCCAAACTCCTCCCACGACAAGCACAGTCAGGTACGTGCCAGGAAGCAGCGTGACGAGTTCATCCTGGAGACCAAGCGGAACATGTCTTCCCCTCCGGAGCCAGGAAGCAATGCTCGATGTGAGGACCAAAGCTTCTCCAGGAGAACCAACAGCTCAGACAGCAACTTGTAGGAGAACCCACAATGTCTCCTTAACGCCTCAACCCTCAGCACCTCCCTTCTTCTCCACCTATTTATCCTGGCAACCCGCCTCGGGTGGAGCATCTTCTCTCAATGCATGCTGATGTAATCCAGCTGGCGTTAAGTTGACCACTAGTTCTCAAACCATAACATGGCCCATATAGCATGTCAGGTCCCTCCAATATCAGTAGAGTGGCTTTTCTCACCATCTGAGTGAAGGCTGCACAACTTGAGGGCCAGATACCACACTCTGTCCTCCTCCATCCCTAAAACTTATGCAGCAGAAGTTGAGCTATGATTTTTTTCCACCAAAATACATTCTGTCCTAAATTAACAAACACTTTCATAGTTAGGGAGCGACTGTACCTTGCAGGACTCTCAAATTCCCTGGATTCAGCAGGAGTTAGGCTGTTTGGAAAGAGCTGGCTTCCAGCTATGGCTGCTGTCCTTTCTCGTTCTTCCACTTCCCTTCCAGTATTGTGAGAGGTCTCATGCCCGTGCAGGTGGACCTGCCCCCGCCTTCCACTGTCAAGGTCAGGCCATCCTTCGACCCACTCGCGGCTGCTTCTCAGATCTGAGTTGTACATACTAATTGCAAGTTGGCATCAGCAGGAGAACTGTGAAAAAAAGTCCCGTATGAGTCCTGGACATGGGCCAAATGCAGAAAATGTTAGGGTTTTAGGTACCTGAATTTAAAGCGGAGAATGTGGGCACAGACAAGCCAGGCCCTCAGACCTGTGGACCTTTCACTGTGGGGCAATGGTTGGCCAGAATGTGTATCTCCTCCTGGCCCTAAGGGTGGTCCTGAAATCAGCTGCCAAATATTTCCACTTCTACTCGTAGTATAAGCTGCAATTGTCCCAGCTGGTTTTCCCTTGGGATATTGTCACAGCTCCCTAACCTGGGATCCTGGTCCACAGATGTCACCTCTGGGCACTGCAACAAAGAACCTGTTTCTAAATCCTGGATCTACTGTTTATCACCTGCAGAACTCTTTTGGAAACTCAATTTGCCCAACAAAGTTGCCTCAAAGTTCCTGACACAGAAATCTTGAATAATATGTTTATTTTTGCTTTAAACTGCTAAGTCATTACATCTTGAAGTAACTTGCTATAAGAAAATAGATACCTAGCACATATCTTACCACCCACTCCTGGTTTTTCTCAAACCTAACAGGTTATAAAAACAATGGTAAAGGTGATTTTAGAAAAATGTTTGAAACATTTTTAACTTTTTCTACTTGTTTTCTTTTATTGGTTCGTCAAAGCCTAAGCACAGGATTTCAACCTGCGATAAGGATTAAAGAAGCAATAAAACCGATCACACAGCACGTGGCGGTCATGTCCCTCCTTTCCTCACGTGGCTTTTCTCATATGAGTGAAGCCTGTGTGACTTGAGGGACCGATACTGAACTGTGTCCTCCACTCCAGATCTAAAGTCATTGCTAGTGTTTGGGCATCCCTGAGAATTCACATGCTGCCAGTATGATCTCCAAAATGACAACAGTAGTGCCTCAAGGTATGACCTTTGAAAGGTGGTTGGGTCATAGGGCTCTGCCCTTAGGAATGGATTAATAAATTAGTGGCATATTTTATTTGTTTAAAGGAGCCCCGGGCTGTTTCTTTGCCTTGCCATGTGATGCCTGTGTTGTTATAATGATCAAAAAAGGTTTCTCTAGTTGCCATGCAGATAACTGCATCATGCTCTTGGACTTCCCAGATCCCAGAGTCACAAGCTGAATAACCTCTGTCCTTGGTGAACTACTCGATACATGATCCTTAGTTTTAGTAACAACAACCAGAACAAAGATACCCATCTTACCAAAGAGTAATATTGTTACAACATTTTACAAGACAATCACCAACAAGCAAGGATCTAAATTCTTCCTGACTTTCCTTTGGTGACACTGAGGAGTAAGCTGGTTTGGTTGATCAAGCCTTCTATTTAATCCTATGAGTGTGAGATTCAACCCATCTGTGGAATCTGCCCAGTGGATTAGATAGTCGTGAGCATAATTGTATTTTACAGCGTAGAGAACATTAATTTGCTGTGTGCCTGTTTTGAGTCATTATTTCTCTCTTACTCAGTGTTGTGTTTTATTCATTATTTTCAATCATTTAATCAGTATGTATTTATGAAGTATCTTCTGTGGACTAATTCCAGCACAAACTAAATAAGACATCAGCCCTACCAATAAGAAACTTAGAGTATAATAGAAAATGAAACAGAATTTATAGTCCGATCTAAAAAAGGGAGATATTTTTAGAAAAATAACTTCTGATTGAAGGCAAAGTAGGGGTGTATGTATGTGTGTGTGAATGTTTATATATATATCTCTCTCTTTATCCTTTAGGTTGGAAGGAGATTTTGCAGTTTTTTAGTATTTGAAGTGCACTACACATACATAAAATTGCACAAATCCTAAGCGTGCAGCTCAGTGGATTTATTTAAATGGAATCCACTTAGTAACCAGCACCTAGATAAAGAATTTCACTAGCACTCAAAAAGACTTCTCAGGAGGAAGGAAATGTATCAAACGTTTTTTCTATTTCAGCTGCCTGTTTACTGTGTACTTTCTTAAGTCATGAGTCACCCGAGACCATTATTAGTCAGCCTTCAGAAATAGTTCCTGAGACAAGCCCCTTCCCCAAGTGGACATCAGTGATGAAAGTGCAGAACCACAGGAAGAATTTCCAGCTGTCAAATTAACAGCCAGAAAGCGTTTTTTTCATCCTTCACAAAAGATGCATCTAACTCATGGAAATCAGAAAGAAAGAAAAATCCATTAGGTTAGCAGGTGAAAGGTTATTTCTCTGATTCAGTTCCTGGGTTTTTCTTAGTTTATAATGAATTCAGCTGTTTTTATTCAAAATCAAGTCATACGCATAAAGCAAACCTAATGCATGCTTTCTCCCAGGAGTAGACAGGAAGGATACACGAACCCGGGGAACACTCTAACCCCGTAATGTTGCATCAAAGCATGATATTAGAAATGAGGCAAGATGGAGCATCTTTTATTTTGTGTTTAGAAAGCACAGGACAGCTGTCTGACCCAAAGGTGAGCCTCCCTGGATACAAACATACGAAGCATTCCCCATCAAAGTCTAGGAGTGCAGAGCCACCCTGCTTAAGTCTCTTTGAGTGCTGGTATCAATTAGTAACTACAAGAAATGCAAAAAGTCACTTTGGGGGTGGAATCTTCCTTTAATCTTTCAGAAAGCCTCATCGCAGTTCAAACAAAATGTGCAAAAGTAAGCACCAGTCTGCAGGAGGCGAAGACCTCAGGTTGGGACCTCGTGAATCAACCTATTTGATGTTTTCCCATAGAATCTGAAAGGGTGAAGCCGGCCTCAGTCACAGCCTTTGCATTGCAGGTTTCATTAGCCTCCATTTCATGACTCTGCTGAAGAACTTGAAATCTTATATGTTCACAAAAGCAAAACTAGCAGCTTTTGGGGGGCAGAAATCAGAGTTTGTTTTTGCAACCATAACATCTATCACAACCCACGGGACATGGTAAATATTTAATAAATATGTGTCACCTGAATGAATGGATGTGTGGAACTTCATCCTGAAAGTGTGAGGCACTATTGAAACATGTCCAGGAGAAGAGTGCCATGGTCAGATTTATCATGAAAGAAGATCCACCTGGACATAGTAAAAAGCATGTCAGAAAGGGACAGAACCGGAAATGGGATGATTGCCTGGGAGACACAAGTAACCCTGAGAATACGATAAATGCTCATCTTACTTAAAGAGGGCACCTATTAAAGTAGGAGCTGATCTGGCGATTGACGGAATGTGGAGAGACAGGGAAAACAGGAGGGTCCTAACTTTGGGATTCTAGTTTGGTCTTCAGATGGGTGACAGGTCAGCTGATTGAGATGCGGGGGACAGAAAGGTGCAGGAGGAAGAACAGATCTAGTGTCAGAAACAATGTTCACTGTAACCCTTTGGACTCAGAGTGCTTGCGAGATGCCTGATTTACACCCAGGAGAGTAGCAATGGTTATTAAAGCCATAGGTTTTGATGTTTTCTTCACAGGAAGGAAGATATTAACACGAAAATACAGAGTGCTAAGGACCGAACCAGCAGGACGGGAGATGTTAGAGGTCAAGCAGAGGACAAGAAGACTGCAAGGCACTAAGCACAACTGCTCCCCATATAACTCTGGTATTCATTCTGGAATACCTGAACCCAGCACCGGCTGCGGTCAGAGACCTGAACGCCTCTGCTTCCAGAGGGAGAGAAGAGTCCAAGTTGTTTTGCATACCAGGAGGAACTGCAGTGTTCAGAGGCCCAGTGTTGGTCATTTTCTCACTGCTGAGAACAATGTCTAACCCCCACAATTTAAAGGAGGACAGGTTTACGGGTCCACTGGTTTAAGGCAGAAGCATCAGGGGGAAGGGTCTGCCCCAGAGGAAAGCCATTATTGTCATGGCAACGAGGTAGCAGAGAGGGAGGAGCTAATTTGATGATGTGCCCTCTGGGTCACAATCCCAGCGAATCACCTCCAACCAGGTCCCACTCCCCAACCAAGTCAGCCATAGTACCCTCATGAACCAGTCACCTAAACACATGAGACTTTGGGGGACATTTCAGATCCAAACCATAACAGTCCTCCAAATCAAGCCTGTTACCCACATTCATTAAATATATGGGTTAAGTGCAGACTCTAAAAGTTGCACTTAACAAAGTTAAACTTTATTTTCTTTATGCAATTTAACTTTGCTTTGGGTGTAAGGTAGGATTATGAAGAAAACTGTCTTTAAAGTTACATGAGTACCCATGTTTATAACAGCACAATTTGTAATAGCTAAATTTTGGAAGCAGCTTATAAGTTTATCGACAGATAAATGGACAGAGAAAATGTGGTATTTACACACAGTACAGTACTACTTTATCATAAAGAGAGGTAAACCAGTCATTTGTAGGAAAATGAGTGTGTCTTGAGACCATAATGTTAACCGGAGTAAATCAGACACAGAAGCTTAAATATCACATGGTTTCCCTTAGAGGAGAAACTCAAAGTACAAATTAGGAGCAAAATAAAAGATAGATAACAGGTGGTGGTGGTGGGAGGCCAGGGGAATATTTTTCAAGTTATTTGCTTTGGGAGACTATGGATTTATGCTATCAGAGATGTTATTGCACAAGGCATTCTTAAAACTATTTTGAATTTGCCTTATGTAATCTATTAACAGGTGATTTCTTACTGTTTTTTTTTTGTAGTTCTGTATTACGTGTACCCTTACACCACTTTGTTTTGTTTTGTGTTTTTCTCTTTTTCCTTTTAAATAAAATTTTTTAAAAAAGTTTGATAAGATCAAAACCCCATGTATTTTAAGAGTAAATTTGAATTTTGAAACAGCCTAGGTTGTCACTGAGAGGGAAGCTTGATGAAAAAGGGAACAGTAATCACTACATTATTAATATTTTACATCCAGTACTTACTGAGGTGACAATATTGGGCATATGATAGGTTAAATATAATGTATTTTTAAAGTTAATTTGACCTGGTCTTTTACTTTTTTAACATGTCTGCTAGAACAATTAAAACTGCTACCTGTGTTCTTCATGTCATGTAACTATTGTGCAGTGCTAGCATATGCAATTATAATTGCATATACAAGAAGTTATTTATGCATAAAGAATACCTGGAAAATATTTTTAATATTTATCAATAAAACTTTGCAAAATTAAACATATTTTTGTTCATAGAACTGAGTATTATGTTCATTGAAGTAATGAGGTCAGTACGTACTAAGATGTAGGACACTTAACTACATAGTCTTAAAAAAAAAACGAGGTACAGAATAGATGCATAGTAAGATAATGTTTGTTTTCAGAGTATATGGAACAGGCTCAGAATACATTCTGCAAAGTTGTACATATATATATATATATATATATATATATATATATATGGATATTCCTGGAAGGATGCATAAGAAATTGTGTTTAGTTATTGTCCTAGAAAAAAAAAAAACTGTAACTCACTATAGAAGGTGAGCAGACTTGTTTTTTAATGTTTTCATTATCCATTTGGGAAAGATATTATTTACAGGGTTTTGTTATTTTTTTTTTAATTCTCAAAATGAATTCCCCAAGGTCAGTTATGACAGGATAATCATTCATGCTTATGTGGGGTGGGTGACATGTATATAAACCATAGTGTCCTACACATAATAAGCACTTGAGAACTATCTAGTCCTTTGCTCACCCCACGTTTTGGCTAAATGTGTCACAGTGGAGTCCCTTCCTGTGTTGCAGGGATACCCTAAGTGTTGCGATTATGCTACGACTCTAAAGATGTCAAGTGTAAACAGGATGGGCTTTCAGTGATCTGGTGACATGCCCTTGAAGTTACTTATTTACCCGGATAAATCCCAAAAATTACTTATTTATTTGCGTATTTCTTTTATCAGAATAAAAGGCAGCTTGTATAATGTATACCTTCCTAGTCAATATAGTATCTCAGGCTGTCTGCAAATTTTATTACTATATTAAAGACTAAAGTAAACTTTCCCAGTTATTACAAATTTTGCACTGAAATCTTCACTCTCCTGTCAGCCCGGCAGCTAAAGCACTCTCTTTTTATTTCTGTATCAGAAACTCTGTGTGCCTCCCTAACCTCTTTGTCTACTTCAATCACCTCTTCTCACTTTATGAAGTTTGTTGATTGATTGCTTCTCACGGGGTATGTCTGGCTTCCGAGCCCTTTGTCTAAATTTAAAACAGTAGAGCCATCCTTCTGAAAACTCGCAGTGCTCAATCAATTTCATTTGCTCATAAAATATCTTTTGTTTTTGAAACAAAGGTCTCTTGCTTCTAATTCCTTAGCTCCATTCCCATTGCTTCTGACTTAGTCCAGCCTCTCTTCATCTTGCCTGGAATATGTCAATTAGCTCTTAACCAGTCCGCACGTTTTCAGACTCCCCACTGGGGTTGCATTTTCCACTTTATTGGTAAATTCTAAAAGCATATTCTAAAAAGAAGAAACACATAAAAAAACAGATTCATGCATATATTCCTTCATTCATCAGACATTCATTAAATATGTCTTTTGTGTCAGGCATCACGCTCAGACATGGGGATGCAAAGATTTATTTTTCATAAACACTATAAAAAGGGACTATGTTTCTGGAGTTTAAAGTCCAGTACAGGAGGTCAAGGAGTGGACACATGACCTACAGTCCATGGCAGCAGGCCTCTGATGCTGTGGCCACACGCAGCAGGGAGGGAAGGTTCTCAGATTCTTGCTGCTCCGTCCACCTGGGCAGAGCCAGGTGTGAGATGTAAGTAGAGGCAGCGGGAAAGGCAAGGCTGGACAGTGTGGTGGTGGTGTGGGGTGCTAAGTGTGTCCTGCACGAGGAGGCGGTTAAAAGCCTAGCAGCCCTGCAGAAGGATTTGGACTTCACTCTGAAGGTGCGGGTTTTAAGAAAACTGGTCACGTGCCATGTGTCCGATGCACAGCTTATGAAGAGGAATCTAGAGGAAGTTTTCATCCTGAAGCCTGGCAAGAGAGTTAGGATGACACTGTTTCAAGTGGAGAATGATCCAAATGAGGTAAGAATGGTGGTGGGGGGAGGGGGCAGACGGCTGGGGAGGTAAATGGCAGTAAGATTAATGAGGTTGCTGGGTCGTCCACATGGATGTTTGTGAGAAGGAAAGGAAACATTCAGAACTGATCTGCAATCCATCTGATTTGCACCTAGAGATGCTACGAGGACCTACGGATGCTGTGAGTGGCCACAAGTGGGCTGTTTTGGCCCAGAGGAAATGAAGGCAGCTGGGTGTCTGGGCCAGCACTCAAGTGAGAGATGAGCACAGGAGACATCTACTGTTTATTCATTTGCTCCTTCATCAAGTGGGTAGTGAGTAGCCACTGCCTGGCACACACTAGTCAAAGCACTGGGAATGTCATGGAAAATAAACAGGACACACTACCTGTTCTCAGGGCACTTTCATTCGACTGGAGAAACCAAAGGAACCAAAGAACAATGGAGTTCCTGTGAAATACCAGGAGATACGTGTTCTGAAGATAGAAAGCAGGGTACTGAGAGAGAGAGAAAGGGAGAGTGGGGTGGAGTGTGGGAGGTATTTTAGACACAGTAGTCCATGCGAAAGCATCTTCCCAGAGGTGATCCCTGAGCGCAAACCTGAATGACATGCCAGGGGAAGCCGCAGGAAATGTCCAAGGGGGAGTGTGCGAGGAAAAGCCAGGCAGAGCAGCGTGCTCCCTAAGTGGTGCTTGATGGAAGCTTTTGGAAAGACCAGCTGAGAAGAGGAAATAGATGCAGATGTTTGCCCAATGTGATCCCAAAACCTTCACAGTAGACTCTTTTATTCATATTTTCACTTTCTACTATTTCAGCTACCTATGATCATCTGTGACCTAAAAATATATGGAAAAATTCTGGAAATGACCATTTACTAAGTTATACATTATTCTGGGTAGCATGAGCATAAATCATCCCATTGCCCAGCGTATCCACATTGTATATGCTACTCACTTGTGAGTTACTGAGTAGCTTCTTGGTTACCAAATTGAATATTGCAACATTGTACTACAATGTATTTTACTTGATGATGGACCCAGAGCCCAAGAGTACTGATACTGTCAGTTTGAATATACTGAAGAGAAACTATCCTCAAAGTTCTATCTTTAAGTATCATCTCCCATCATCAGACAAAGGGTGTGTGAAATACAATATTTTGAGAGAGATCACAGTCACATAGCTAAATAATGTTGTTATAATTGTTCTATTTTATTATTACTCTTAGTTGCCTCTTATAGTGCTTAATTTATAATCCAAACTTTGCCATAGGTATGTATCTATAGGAAAAACACAAGATACACAGGAATTTGACACTAATTGTGGTTTCCAACACCCACTGGGGTCTTGGAATGTATCCCTGCAGACTGAGTCTATGTCATGTTGCCTCCTTTTGAAATCATCCTAGGTCCTCAGGCAGTAGTGATTCCTTCCTCCACCCCAACTCCTCAGCATTTGACCAACATCATAACACTTTGTGCACTAGCATTTGTTATTGTGGTGTGATGTGAACTTTTTCAAGACAGGAAAAAGTTCCTTTTGGAGATCCAGCGCCCACTGTAGTTTACCAGCAGTGAAAGACTGGTTATTCTTTAGGACCTTCACGTGTCGTTCTGGAGTTTTCTTTCACCAGCATCCTGGGTGATTACCTCACCTGTCACAGGTTGCATGCCTCTTTCTCTCTTTTGGCTTCCTCTTTTGCTTAGATGAATTACCTCCCCCGGGAGACTCCCAATATGATGCGAAGTAATGTTGAGACTTCACACCTTTCAGATGATTTTCTTCCTGACCCTTGAGTGATATGATGGCCAGATAATTCTAAGGCGTAATCATTCTTGTTTGGAGACATAGGAGCATTGTTTCATTGCTTTGTAAATTTCAGTGTTACTGTTAATAACATGAGAACCATTTTTCTTGAAACTTGTTTATTAGCATCTTCTCTACACTTTATTTTTGAAAATGTTTAAAATCTTTTCTTTCAAGCCAATGGTCTAAAATATGACAATGATGTACTTTGGTGATTCTTTTTAAGAACTGAATTTGTCATTCTTTTATAAGTCCTAATTTGTCATTCTTTTATGTCCTAATAATCAGGAACTCTTAGTCTGAGAATATTTTCTGGTGCTGTGGATGATCAAATCCAGGGCCTTGGCCGGGGATTTAGCTCAGCAGTGTATCTGCTTGGAAAGTGCAAAGTTTGAGTTTGATCCCTGGTACAAAAAAAAAAAAAAAAAAAAAAAAAATCTAGGGCCTTGCATACATCAGGCAAGCATTTTATATTGCATTACAGCTCACAGCCATCTGAGACTTTTATAAAAATGTAAAATGTACTGCTACATAATATACAAAGAGCTGCATCATTTAAAATATACCCTTCTACAAATTTTGGCAGATGTATTGAAAATTCCATAACAATAACATTGACATTGCTACCAATTGTTTCTTTGTCTCCTTTGTGGTCCATTCCTCCCTCCACCAAGGAAGTGATTCCTTGCTTTCAGTCACTATGGGTTATTCTGTGTCAAATCTAGATTGGTATGAGCTATGGGTTCTCTAGCTTTATCATCTATTAAAAAATGTTTTGGTTAGGATATTCACATTCCACTAGGAAGTTTTGAAGTAGCTTGTCATGTTGCACTAGCCACAAATACACGCAAACACACACACACACACACACACACACACACACACACCCCTTCTGGAATTTGAGGAAAATTAAATTGAATATACAGATTAATCTGGAAGAGATGGACATTGTAAGAGTATTGAATCTTCAAGGATACGTGGGTATGAAATAGCTCTTCATTTATTTGGTCTTTAAATTCTCTTATTCATGTTTTATTTATTTATTCAGTTAATTAGTTAGTTAGTGCTAATGGAAGTCAAACCCATGACCTCATGATTGCCAGGCAACCACTGTGCCACTGAGCTGTATCCCCAGCCCTTACTCATGCTTTATAGTTTTCAAATGCACTGATTTTATCAAAGTTATATGTAAATATTTTATGATTTTGAATGCTGTTGGAAACGGAGGCATACTTTTTAATTTCACTTTTTCCATTCTTCATTGCTAGTATATAGAAATACTGTTCTATTTTTGTATGTTGACCTTGTACATGCTTTGCTAAGTTCATTCACT